TCAATAATGAGTGCCAGCCTTATAGCAAGAATGAAAAAATAGGAACAACTCAAAATCAAGAACATAGAACCATTTAATATAGTTCAAGTGACCTGACACACATAGCCAGTGGTAATAGCTTATATTTGTATATATGTAGTGCTTAACTAGTAAACCAAATTTTGTTACTTTTGTTGTTTCATTTGATCTTGAGAATACTTTTAAGTAATATGAAATAGATATAAAACCATTGTGAGTTAGATAGAATAGATACTTTAATCCCATTTTGAAAAAACAAGTACAAAAACAGTTAAGTTACTTCTTCAAATTAGAGAACCAATACTAGGTCTCAGATCTTTGTATTCCTAGCTTAGTCCTCTTTCCACTATGTTAAGAAGACTTTAAAGGCGAGAGTGGATTAAATACAATGAATTGAAGTTTTGATCCTGAGTCATTAAAACGTTCAGTTAAATTTAATGCTCACAATTTAGAAAGTGCTCCTTCGTAGGAGCACATTTGTCTGACAATTCAGAAAAACCTCTTCCTTAAGGGGCTCTAGGTAGTCATGGTTTGAATTTAAATTGTTTATTTTGGTTGGGCGTGGTGGCTCACGCCTGTAATCCCAGCACTCTGAGAGGCTGAGGCAGGCAGATCGCCTGAGCTCTTGAGTTCTAAGACCAGCCTGAGGTACAGTGAGGCCCTGCCTCTAAAAATAGCTGGGCGTTGTGGTGGGTGCCTATAGTCCCAGCTACTTGGGAGGCTGAGGCAAGAGAATTGCTTGAGCCCAAGAGTCGGAAGTTGCTGAGAGCTATGACGCCACAGCACTCTACTGGGAGTGACAAAGTGAGACTTTGTCTCAAAAATAAATAAATAAATAAAATATTTATGTTAAATTTATCATAAGTAATATGATAGGGCCAAAGTAATCAACTTTACAGGCTTCAAGTTGGTGGGGGGGATGCTATTACTCATTAATGCTTTTTTACTGAATATCAGGGCCAACTCTGATAATGATTAGGCTGATCACAGCATCTAGTGCAGGCATCCTCAAACTATGGCCCACGCGCCACATTCAGTCCACCTAGGACATTTATCCCGCCCGCTGGGTGTTTTTGTCACCGCTGCCTGTCTTGCTTAGCAGCTGACTTGTCCTGGGCCCCACAGTCCGGCCCTCCAATGGTCTGAGGGACAGTGAACTGGCCCCCTGTTTAAAAAGTTTGAGGACCCCTGAAGTGTCTTGCTCTTAGTATTTGATCAACAGATGCTTATTGCATAATAATACTATACCAGTGTGGATTTCATGATTATAAGTAATTAATTCTTTGGTATATCCTTCAGGATTGTTTTTTTGTTTTTTGTTTTTTTGGCAAATGGAAATAAAGCATAGAATTGCTTGAGAAAATTAGATAAATTCTAAGTCTTGGGAAGAATAAGGTCTCTTTTTAAAACCTAGTCTGATATTAAGGGTTTAGAGGTTGACAGAAATGCTGATACTTAATGGCTAGCACATAACAAGGTAGGGAGGATTAAAGGTTCATGTGGAGTTAACTATAATTTTTCACTGGGACCTTTTTGCCATATCTTATTTAACTATTTTTTGGAATAGGTATATTTTTGAAAATTATTGTATTATTTTTATATTCTCTTCTTAGTAAATTTATTTTTTTCCCCCTCTGATTTAGCTGTAGTGATCCTGTGCAGAGAATTGAGCAGTGTACACGAGGTTCTCTCTTCATGTGTAGCATTGTTCAAGGGTGCAAGAGAACGTATTTGTCTCAGAGAGACTTACAGGCTCATATCAACCATCGCCATATGAGAGCTGGAAAACCTGTTACCTGTGCTTCACTTGAAAATGTTCATCCTCCTATTGCCCCACCACCAACTGAAATCCCTGATCGTTTTATAATGCCACCAGACAAGCACCATATGAGCCATATTCCGCCAAAGCAGCACATCATGATGCCACCACCTCCTTTGCAGCACGTGCCACATGAGCACTATAATCAGCCACATGAGGATATTCGTGCTCCTCCAGCAGAATTGTCCATGGCTCCACCTCCACCTCGTTCAGTCAGTCAGGAAACCTTTCGTATTTCAACAAGAAAACACAGCAATTTAATAACTGTCCCTATTCAGGATGACTCAAATTCAGGTGCTAGAGAACCACCTCCTCCTGCCCCGGCACCTGCCCACCATCATCCTGAATATCAGGGCCAACCAGTGGTATCGCACCCTCATCATATTATGCCTCCACAGCAACATTATGCACCACCCCCACCTCCTCCACCACCAATAAGCCATCCAATGCCACATCCTCCCCAGGCTGCAGGTACTCCTCACTTGGTGTATAGCCAAGCTCCACCTCCACCAATGACCTCTGCTCCACCACCAATAACCCCTCCCCCTGGACATATGATTGCCCAGATGCCACCTTATATGAATCATCCTCCTCCAGGACCTCCCCCACCTCAGCATGGCGGTCCACCTGTAACTGCACCCCCTCCTCACCATTACAATCCCAGCTCTTTACCCCAGTTCACTGAAGATCAAGGAACTCTGAGTCCTCCATTTACACAGCCAGGGGGCATGAGTCCTGGTATATGGCCTGCACCAAGAGGCCCACCTCCTCCTCCACGAATGCAGGGCCCGCCTTCTCAAACCCCACTTCCTGGACCACTTCATCCAGATCAGACAAGATACAGACCGTATTACCAATGATAATAGTGGTTTGAACTGAAGATGTGATAAGGAAAAAACCTTATGTATAGTCAATCTTTTAATTAAGCTTTGACTTTTGGGAAGGAAAAGTACCTCTTACGAAGGTGGCTGTAAATCACATAGGGTCTTATCTCTTAAAGTGGTTTTAAATCTTGACCTTAGGATTGATTTCAAGTACTATACTGTAATGCAGATAAGTGGCTCAGTTGAGCACAGCTATATTTTAACAATTTTGTTCCCCTAGAGTGGTAAATTGACCCAGAGGTGACCATTTGTAAAAGATTTGAAAAAACTTTTCATTGTTCCACTTTCAAAAGTATTGCTTTTGTTAAACCCAATGTTTAGTTTTTCTTGTGATACATTTTGTTAACCTGTGTAAAAGGATTAAATTTCAATATGACTGTAAAAAATGCTATTTTTATGTGACTTTAAGTGCAGCCACATACTGTTTTTAAAAACCATATGTTTTACCACTAATTTCCCAAAGTCACAATAAAATCCTAAAAGTAAAAATCTACTAGAATTTGCTATAAGGCAGACTGTTAAATGATAGACAATTATTTCACATTTTAGGCACTGAAATTTTAAGGTATAATAAGTATACAATGCACTTCACATGGATGCCTTGTCATTTTTAGGCAGCCTCAGGAGCACCAAAATACATTGGAATTCCAGTACTGAGATGTATTTATGTTTATAATATTAAAAGGTGTTACTAATTATTTGGAAAGATAGGGCCAAAGTAATCCACTCTACAGGCTTCAAGTTGGTGGGGGGATGCTGTTACTCATTAATGCTTTTTTACTGAATGGTTGGAATCACACGATGCACCACACATACTAATCTTCAATAACGTTATTTTATAGGACTGTTTAAATGGTGTTATTTAGATAAATTGTGTTCTACTCTGTTCATTGTCTTAAACTAAATATTTAGGGCTGAATAGGCTTTATATAATTCCTATTTAAGTGGGCTCTTGTTTATTGAATTGTAAACTATGGTTTGAATGCCATGGAGGAATTTGAATAATCAATTAATGAAGGACATATTCTTGTAATCACAAACTTGCATTTGCTCAGGTTTCATTGCTGTGTGATAGGATTTTTCCTCTAACTTGAAATTTAAAAACTATTATTCCCTAATCCTTTTGTTGGCAAAGCAGTCTAAACTTGGAACATTTTAGCATGGAGTCAACAGTAAAGACGACCAGGTAATTTTGTATTGGACAAGAGAGAAGTCATGGCTAAATTGTGAATTTCAGTGCTTTATACGGTGCCTTTAGAGTCAGCTTTTGCATTATAGGGGCTTATGATAGTCCAGCTAAGATGACCACTTACAGTTTATACAGAATTCATATGTATAAATCAACCTTCTTAGGATATTATTCTATATCCTTTGAATAAATCCCTGTGAAGTTTTTCCTCCCCCCTAAAATGGTGCATAATATAAACATGAAATGTGTAGTATGCAGATATCATTTATTAGATAGTTTATAGTGTATAAATTTAGAACATTTCTTTTTGACAAAGGATGAACTGATTACTAATTTACCATTTTATTCTGTCAGGTACAGGCAAAACAAATTCCCATCTTGGATGATCAGATGCAAAATCATTTCTGAACTTAGAGCAGAAGTTAGAAATAATATAAATGGCCATTTCAAGCTTGACTGGCTAACGATAACCAATACACTTTTTTCTTCTAAGTTAAGCAAGTGATTTTTTTTACACTTAGTTTGAAAGTCCAGTGTTAATGCAATATTTCTAGTGAGAAATGCTTGTTATTAAAAGCATGGGAGTGAAATAGTGTGAAATAATTGGTGGTGAGTGCTTCTATCATATTACTGTAGGTACTTGGACTGGTGCAAACTTGATTCCTTTTCACATCCCTGTTAAGGGGCTGTTAAAATATTACTGTTAAAAATCCAAACCATTCTTTTTTGTGTGTAATAAAATAGCTAAATTCATTTTAAAGCATCTCAATTATCTATGAAGACCCCTCATGCTTTTACTGAAATTCACTAGAGCTGAATGTGGTAAGAAACCACTTAGCCTATGTATTGGACAAAAAAGTCAGTATCATGATAAAATTTCATGTTAAGAGAAACCTTGTAGGCTTTTTAAAAAATGATTTATTTTCAATTAGATGTAAGAAATGTTATAAGGGAGGCAGATCAGATGAATGTCTTGTCCCAGACAAAATTTTTAAAGAGTGTTAGACTTGAATTCATCAGTTACAATTGTTTGAATGAGGGTGGGTGGGTAGAAGGATAATAAAATTACTGTTAGTGTTTCTTTTCTTAAGGAAAAAGATGTGAATCCCAGTCTTATTTCAGGGAAGCCTTTGAAGCTATGATGGACATAAGTCTAAATTAAATGTATGTATGTTTCATTATATTGCTCTTAAGACTACTGAGGTGGCAGTTTAATTCTTAAAAAAAAAATAAAATGGAAACATAAATACTATTTTGCCTAGATGAATTTTTATCTAATGATGACACAATTGTGAGAATGCAGAATTTTCTATATTTGTGTTGATAAAATATTCTACAGGAAAATTAGGTTCACTTTTTTTAAGATTAAGACCAGCAAATTGAATGTTATATTTCTTCAGTAGCACGTTTGTTAAGGGTATAATGTAGTATTGAGGGGAAAGATCCATTGGGAAGACTCAAATTACATGAAAAAATGCATGACTACCCAAAGACATTTCTCTTATTGGGTTACCCATCAAACTAGTACACCGATGTTAAATGAAGTCTGACATCATCATACTCATATTGTAAACATACTATATTCTGATTGAAGTGGGTTTATCTTCACTGGTTTATAACTGTAATTTGTTCAATTATGGCCTAGAAACCAAGCAGAGTTTACTTATTTAATAAAGCAATATCAGATATACTAGGCTTGAAGTGAAGTGGGGGTAAGCCAGGTAAAATCCTTGGTAGTGATATTAATAAAAATGGACTTGGAATTTCAAACACCTCGTTTTGATTCATACCCCTTCAATTATCTGTTACTGAGGGAAAAAGTTTTAAGGCAGAATTCTTAAAATAACACTTTGAGTGTTAAAGTTTAATTTTTCCATGTCCTCTGTCTTTAGAAATTGTGAATTTTTAGGCACTACAGAATCATGGGATTGAAATGAACAATGATAAGCTATGGGTTTACTTCTCACACTAGGGTAGGAACATCTTTAAAAAAAATCATTTAAAATTGTTAAGCTATTTTACAATAGGGTAAAATAGCTTAAGAGTATCTAATTTTATTATGAGCACTTAACAAGCACCAACTTTCATACTGCATTTAAGCCCGTTTTGTATTACTCTGGGTTTAAAATTGTTCTCCTTGTATTCAGGTTGAAAAAATCCTGCTCCCTTTCACTTTTCTTCCTGGTACTTTCAAAACTTCTCATTACTATTTTGTTTTTAAATTTGTACTCATTTTCAATTATACACGTACTAAATCTTGTTGAAAAAAATGTAATATTACAATAAAGGTAAATCCCCTTAGCCACTATCTAAAGGAACAGTTTCCTCCTTGAAGATAAAGTACTGTTATGCCTTTGGTGTATATATCAATTTGTTTTAGTTATGGATCTGATAACTACATAGGCTGTATGCTCTGGTAAGCATCCTCATTCAAGCTAAGTCTAGTATTTCATGGCCTATATGCAGTAATTGTATATTGTGTATCATGTGGGATATAAAGAATCATTCGTTTATGTGCTAGATACCATTCTGAGCACTTGACTTGCACCAGTCTTTAGAGACATAATCTATACACATCATTAAATTATATGCCAGTCAGAAGTGTGATAAAATCCTGTGGAAAAAAAAGAAGAGTAAGGATAGTTGGGTAATGGTCAGTTTGCAATTTTAAATAAAGTGGGTGGGGTAGAAGATGACACTTGAGCAGAAGTGTGAAATAGATGAAAGCCGTGTAGATGTGAGGTAGAGCTTGCCAAGCAGACGGCACAGTCTGCAAAAGCCTTAGAGTGGGATTGGGCCTGGCATATATGAGTAGCAGCAAGGATGCTGGCATGGGATAAAGGAGACGAATAATAAGGCTGTCAGATGTAGTAACGGGATGGGGAGATGACAGGCCTTCTGGGCTATTGTAAGTAAAGGCTTTGACCTTCCTCTGATGGGCTTGGGAAGCCATTGTGTTCTGAGCAAAGGAATAAGATGAGCTGGCTTTTTGTAAAAGGATTATTCTAGCTGTGTGTTGGAAAGAGACAAGGAGACAAAGATGGAGGCAGAGAGACCAGTAAGAAGAGTGTTTCAATAATATACTTAAGAGATGGGTGGCGCCTGTGGCTCAGTGCGCAGGGTGCCAGCCCCATATGCTGAGGGTGGTAGGTTTGAACACAGCCTCAGCCAAACTGCAACAACAACAAAAAAAGAGAGAGATGGTGGCAACATTAATAGGTATTAAGTGGGAAGTGGGTGATTTGTGGAATAGATGTATAATCTATTATATGTTAGATATATGGGTGTATAACAACAAAATAGATATGCCTCCTTGCCTTTTAGATTACACTCTAACTTACCTAGAAATTGTTCTTAATAATCATCCCTCAATTTTCTTCAGAAAACTTTCTTATATTCCTTTTCAAAGTATAGTGGCCAAGGGAAAAAAATTATGTTTAAAAATGTATTATCACTAGCCAGGCGCTTTCGCAGGTGCCTGTAGTCCCAGCTCCTCAGGAGGCTGAGGCAAGAGGATTACTTAAGCCCAAGAATTTGAGGTTGCTGTGAGCTACGATGCCATGGCACTTTCCCAGGGCAACAAAGTGACACTGTCTCAAATTAAAAAAAAATGTATTATAAAAATACATAACCATAATGAAAGAGAAATATTAAATGTATTTAATTCTGAACATTAATAATATATTTCCTAATAGCGTTTCTGGATATACTGTATTTTATTATACAGTGCTAAATTAGTGACTTTGGAACAAATCTGTAGAATGTGCTTATATTATTCCTGACTTTAGTCTTGCCTTGTAATAGATCAGCTTTTAGGCAGGTTTTAATTTCTTTCAGGAGGTAATGTTCCTAATTATTAAAAGCCTGGGCTCTGGAGTTAGACTGCCTATACAGAGTTCTGGCTATGCCACCGTTAACCATATCATTAGACTAGTTACTTAACCTCTCTGAGTCTTTTTTTTTTTTTTTTTGAGACAGAGTCTCATACTATTGCCCTCAGTAGAGAGCTGTGGCATCACAGCTCACAGCAACTTCCAACTCTTGGGCTTAAGTGATTCTCTTGCCTCAGTCTCCCAAGTAGCTGTGACTATAGGCACCCACTGCAATGCCTGGCTAATTTTTGGTTGTAGTTGTCATTGTTTGGCAGGCCTGGGCTGGGTTTGAACCTGCCAGCTCTGGTGTATGTGGCTGGCGCTCCAGGTACTGAGCCACCTCTTTGAGTCTTGATTTACTTTGCTTTTGATTATATGTGTTAAGGGTAGAGTCAATAGGATTTTCTGACATCTTTCAACTTGAGCATCTTGAATAATGGAGTTGTCATTAACTGAGGTAGAAAAGATCAGTTGATTGGTTTTGATAAATTGAAATCCAGTTGGAAGTGCTAGAAAAATAATTTAAATATCTCTCTTCTCTGTTTTTATTTGTGCAGTATAGGGTCAAGCTTGCATTTAAAACATTTCATTTACATTTCTAAGTGCTTGGGCAGTGCCTGTAGCTCAGTGGGTAGGGTGCTGGCCATATACACCCAGGCTGGCAAGTTTGAACCCAGCCTGGGCCAGCTAAAACAACAACTGCAACAATAACAACAACAAAATAGCCAGGCATTGTGGTGGGTGCCTTAGTCCCAGCTACTCGGGAGGCTGAGGCAAGAGAATTGCTTAAGCCCAAGACTTTGAGGTTGCTGTGAGCTGTGATGCAATAGCACTCTAACGAGGGTGACATAGACTTTGTCTCAAAACAAACAAAAAAAAATCCAAAAACAGGATTCCTAAGTGGTAAATGAACAGTATTTAGACAAGAACATGTAGCAGATGCTTAAATAATTTATTATAAAATGATTTTAAAGATGAGCTGCTCAACAGGTAGTGGCTTCAATCATTTTTGTGGAGGAGTTGTTTTCTGAGACATGCTCTGTTGCCTGGGCCACAGTGCCATGTCCTCAGCCTAGCTCACAGCAACCTGAAACTCTTGGGCTCAAGCAATCCTCCTGTCTCAGCCTCCAGAGTGGCTAGGGGCACAATGCCTGGCTAATTTTTCTACTTTTAGTTAGATATGGGATCAGTCTCCCTTTGCTTAGGCTGGTTTCGAAATCCTGACCTCAAGTGATCCTCATGCCTCAGCCTCCCAGAATACTAGGATTAGTGTGAGCCACCATGCCCAGCCTGGCTTCACCCTTAATTTCAGTAATGTATCTGTCTATTTCCAAGTCATTCTGTTTCCCCTTTCTTTTCAATCTTACTGTGGTTTATG